GAAAAAAAGATCAGGTGCGCCGGCCTATTCGATCGGTAGCCAGTAGTCGGTGGCAGCAACAAGTGTTCAGTACAAACCGTCAACCAGTTAGTTAAACTGTCCGTCCGCTTATCGGGTGGAAAACAAGCGCAGAAAATACGGGTTTACGCCTACTTTATGTGCACCTTCAGATTCTCATGTGTGGCACTTGGTATGCGCTTGTGTGGCTACGCCGCTGCAGCGAGCCAACATCGAAACTCCTAAATTGTGACATAGTGACACTTTTCTCTAAATTATAGCATTTAAATGTCATTCGGTCGTCCTTATACACCTTTAGCTGCCTTTTCATTTAAATTACCTTTTTTCGATGTCTTTTCTTTATATGTGCATATGTTAGGCAAATAGGTATGGTAGAATTAGTAATGGTACTTGGTATTTGTTTTACACAATTTTCAAATATTTTTGAAATTTAAATGAATTGTTTGCTTGTCATGAATATTTATAGCTAAAAGTATTAGATTAAGTTCGACTTTCAGGTCCATCATCAATTGGATATAATTTATTGGCAGGGCATATTTGCATCTGATCAAAACTGATCCGGATTGACAAAGATTCTAAATTTTGACGTATTTTAATACGTATCTTTATTATCAACTTCAAAATGAACTTCTAAGTCAATACAAGTATGCTAACGCTAAATACAAACTTATATACTGTCTGACCAAAATTGACATGAACTGAAAAAACGATCAACACGAATATTTGTTATTGACTTCAAAAGCGATTCCTGAGCAATACAAACATTTCAAAATTATACAAATTGTACTTACCATCTGCTCAAATTTGACCCGGACTGACATAAACACTCTTAATCAAATTTTATATAGCTAAATAAATAAAAAAAATATATATTGAGATAACATTTAAAGATGTTATTAAATTTTCATTTATTTCCAATAAAAATGGATTTAATGTTCAAATACATAATATTTTCACTCAGAAAGTTACATTCATATGCATGTACAGTTGAAGATCTACGCTGGAGGTCTGCTTGCGCTTTGGCGTTGACACTGTCTTTTCTTTATATTTTCTTGTCTTTCTGCTCCAACTCTATTCCTCTTTTGGATTTTTGAGTGAAATCAATTCGTGTGTATGTATGTATGTGTGTGTATCCACAAAGGCTTCTGTGTGTGTTCTTCTTCTTTCTTGTTTGCCGACCCGCGCTTAAAATTGTTGTAAATGCAAATGAGCTTTAAGTAAAATGCTCCCGCATAAATTTAAAATGTCGCCAAACATGTCGAACATTATTCATTTTAATAGACATTTACATTTGCCCGGATTAAAAGAAATCAATAGTCAATTGGTTTGGCTGCTGTTCGACGGTAGTGCTTCGTTTTAGCGTAATAAATTTCGATTTCCGGTTACACGAATCGACTAATTTATGTTAGCTTTGAAGAAAATATTTCATCTATTTTATGTTTTAGTGAGTGAGACATTTTCTTTTTAGGTTATTGGAATTTGAAAAGATTGTTAAAAAGTTAAAAAAAACTCGTTATATATTAAATATGAAGAGATGTAAAAAATTCTATACCAACTCTAAAATACTTACTGTAAAATTGTGAATGACGAAATTAATTTTGATTATTATAAAATTGACAAATAAAGAAATATAAAAGTCCAAATAAAATAATTGAAATTCAAAAAGAGTAACATAACCCATAAATTGGGAAGGTGTGGTTCAGGGGAGGTTGAAACCATTGTACTTCGGTGCCTTAGCGAGGCTAGAAATTTGGGACCCTGATTTAATTACAAATCAGTTTCATTTATTATACATATACAGGGCCTTAGAGAGAAAACAGGAGCCCGGAATTTGTTGTGGTGAATTATTGCAGAAAAAGAGCTGCAAAAAATTGTCGTTAAGCACGGGACCCTCCGGGCATAGGAGGAATTGTCCCCGATCTCCCCATTTCTCCTTCGCTGTACACATAAGGAAATGTTTTTTTTTTGGCTAGACATCAACGATATTTTCAAATTTTCTCATTTATTTAAGCCTAAAATGCTTACAATGGCATATTTTGGGCTCAGTCTTATCGATAATGTAGACTCACTTTAAGCTTAAGAAACTTCTTATAATAATTACGCTACTCCAGGTCGGCTATGGTGTCAAGGGATTCCCAATTTTTTCAAAATGAATCAAGATTATCAAAGTACATGGAATTCTATAAAAATTAAATTTTTTTATGTATTTATTTAAAAAATTACTGTCAAAATAAACTCAAAAAAAACCTCTTGTTTTCTGACTTCAAAGTGGATATAACCCCTTAAAGGAAACACTAAAGCCTCGCAAGCCAAAATATACATACAGTAAATGCGCATAAGTCTTTATAATTATGATTACACAAATATGTAAGCTCATACATAACTGCATGCCGTTAACCATTCACTAAATAAAATTCAACTGTTGACTATGCAACCCTTTAAAGAGAAAGCAACAAGCGTCACGCGAACATATACGACATCAACAATACAATATACAACAACAATAATTGCTGAGATAGTAAAACACCATTTAAAGTCGCGCAATCCAATACATTGCAACAAGTACAACAAAAATGGTATTCGATTCAAGGAAAAGGTGCGAAGGCGGTCTCATTATGCCTTTAAGCGCTGCAGACTACATGTACACACATACACATACGTGAATATGAGTTATGTTTGTGTGAAGGCATTGCTGAATTGGCAGCAGGCAGCTTAAACTGCTACTTTTTAACCCATTCACACCAATTGTTATATAAGTGTGAGCAGCAAACAAGGCAAAACATCACTCTCTCTCTCTCTGTCTTTAGCAACGCAGTGCATACGGAATGACTTTAACGAAGAAACAAAATAAATATAATGTCAAAAAATAATTGCAAAACTAAATAAAAATATAAAATATCACTTCTAGAAGTCGAGAACATTGTCTGTACTACATATGTATGTATATTCATATGTACATATGTATGTATAAGTTCGTAGTTGAATCTGCATTTGTAGTTAGTTGGCACTGAAGTTGGCTGGGCGGCGCTAAACTCCACACACATTCAGACAAATGATTACACACAATACAGCGGCACTAAAAGTATTACTAAGAAGGAAAAAATGAGGTAATAAAGCAAACACTGCAAATAAGAAGATTGTAGAAGTTTAAACGCTTAAAGTGTTGCAACCAACTTGTAAACTGCTATCTGCTAGCTAAGCACGTACAAGCTTATTTGAGTAAGCGAAGAAGCGCGCCATTGTTGCCGCTGGGCTACCGCGATGTATCTGCGCCGTTCGGACTCCATTGCTCTGACGATTTTCAACGCCTCACTTAACTCTTGCATTTGAGAAATTTACACTCTTATCAATTGCAACTGTTGCTAACTCACTCCAACACTCGCCAAAATATTTGCGTCTCAGCATATGGGAGCCAGTGCGCGTTCTTCCTCACGCCGCCTGAAATATGAGAAAGAAGAGGGCGTTTGCGACACCTCACAACCCCCACGCCTGTACGCGACAGCTGAGTAGCTGAGCGCCACCTGCTGCCGCTGTTGAATGATTTTTGATGTTGTTGGTATACAATGGAGTGATACTTGGCACGCGCCGACGCATAGACTGCACTCAACACGACGCACATAAAAACACACAGCCACACATTGAGTTGCTATCTATGCAGCTCGCACTCAAAATGGGCGAAATGTATAAGAAATAGGCACACACACACATGCACTCATATATGAAGTGGAAACGTAGCAGAAACCATGCTCTCAAAGCCAGTAAAAACAGACATAAATTGTTCAACTCTCGCGCTCGCACTCTCTGGCTTCAACGGGGCGTTACCAACGTTGGCAGCCATGGCAACCAATCACCATACCCCAACACTAAACTTCAAATGCGTACAGGGTGCCTAAGGCTGCGCGTTGCAAACCAGTTGGACCAACTGCCCAACTGTTAATAAGAAGAATGAGTGAAAATTAAAAATAAAAGGTTTCACTCACACACTGACTCACATTTCTGTTGGCAAATGCTGACTGTAACAGCGATCGCTGTAGTGGTGGTGCCTGCAATGGTGGAAGCTGGGTGGGTATGCCTTGCAGCCAGTTTGCTGTTCGCGTTTCTGTGTTTGTTTTCATACCTTTTGCCCGCTCCCTTGTTCGTAGTGTTGTTGTTGGCTGAATTGGCTTCTCATATTCAACCATATTATAAAGCGCTCGCGCCCTCGACACCCCTCGTTTGTGTGGATATGCGTATTTGAATGCATGTGGAAGGGTGTGTGTGTGTAGTTGTGCTGTTAGATTGACTGGCCGGCTACTAGTAGCACGCATAGGTGCCTTGCCGGTTGCTTCACAGTCAAAATTGCTCTGCTTCGTTACTTTGACAGAGTGCTACCACGATGTTCACTCAAGAACTCGTCTTGAAACTCTGAAACTCGATCTGCTGTGGCGGCGTCAGAGCTAAGTGCAGCTCCGCTTTGCGTCGTCACTCAATACGGGCTATTGCGACGGCATCACATCAGTTTATCGTGCGGTCTTGCGGTGTGACAACGTGCTGTGCCGTTTCGCCGTTGATATTGACGCTTCCGTCGTTTGCTTCCTTGCTCAATTTGCGCTCGGATTACGTATTGATAGTTTTGTTTTTGTTCTTATTTTACATTGCCGTGTTTAATTTTCACTAAACAGATGAATGCACACAAGTAATTCACCTGCCGACGGCTCGTGAGATGGCCGCTTATCAGCTATGGCTGTTGTGTTGATAACCAATTGTGACGGAAAGCTGCAAGCTCGCGTCTCTCAGGCGCACAAACACACGTAACTGCAGACAGCGTGTGCAAATTAACGGGAGTACTTACACATCGCCAAAATATTATTTTCACTTTTAAGCATTGTAAATATGTGCAAGTGTGTGCATCAAACTGACAATTGGAAATTTTTAGTCAAATTCAATTGAAGATAAACAAAAAATGGTGATGAAAAAAGAAATTGCGAGAATCTGATGTTTGGTAATAAAGAAAAAATACAGAATAGTGCTTGAATAGTGTGCTAAAAATAATTAACAAGTAATAATAAAATGTCTGCACTGTGTTAAATACTTTCAAACACTAAAATTCGATCAATAATAAACAAAGGCAAAAGTAATAATAATCCAATAGAGAAATTATACAACTATCTCCTCTTGCTTAGATATAGTCCAAAGTGCTTTTAGCTAATTGACAAGAATATAACAAACAAATACAATATATGTACAAGTGCGTGTTGTTAACACAAACCATTCCGCACTTATTCCTGCTTAACCCACAACTCTCACAGTTTCGCAGCTAGGCGCTCCGCAGAGTTGTGGGCCCAAAATTTACATTTCTTTCTCAGGCTGGGATTACAAACCGCCAAAATTGTGGAGGCACTTAAAATGAAGGTAAATGAAGTTTAAAAATAACTAAAATAGTTATAATTATCTTGAAGAGTACATACAAACATTAAAAACGCTCTACTTCTTAGCAGAAATCTAGTTCGAATTGTAAATGCAGTGCTTGAAAAAATTTCACACCAAACCTTGACAAAAGTTATGTTGTTTATTTATAGGTTACTAGATATTAAAAATATTCAACTGTGCATTTTATGAAAGCTAAAGCTGTTGGATTCGCGAACTATGTAAAACAAAATGAAAGTTGAAGAAACATAACCAACTTCTAGTAAAACCGTCGGTTTAATGCATGCACGGCAAATCTAACAAAAAAAATTTATTCCGTCGGCATTTAATGTCTCCTTAATAACCTTTAATAAAAAAAATCCTGTACGTATTTCATAGCTTTAGATTATATTTGCGGTACTTCATAAAATATGCTTCTCGTTTGAACCCCAACATTTATATAAAATAGGAATTAACGGCTTCACCGAAGCTATAATACATTTTACACGTTCATAAAAGGGTATTGAAAGATCTTTATCTTGATTTTGATCGAGCATTATATGTGGCAGCTTTATACCATGGTAATCTGACCAATTGGAGATTGTAGCCTTGTTTAGGCATAATGCCAGTAAAGTTTCTCACAAAAAAACTGCATCTTGATCGATCACTTTGTAAGGAAGCTATATCCTACAATAGTCCAATATCGGTAGTTCTGGCAACCGAGCAGCTTCTTTGAGAGAAAAAAAGTTATGCAAAATTACAAATCGACATCTAAAAAACTGAGGGAGTAGCCCACTGACGAAGGACGGACATGGCTAAACCGCCTCAACTCTTCACACTGTTCAACTTAATTATTATGAGCTATATCACTAGTATCACTTATTAAAGGATATTCTATTATAAATTAAGGTTTTTAATTTCAAATTTCTTGGTATAAATAGTATCGCCGAAGTTGAAAAAGCTAAGTTGATAATTTGATTTTAAAATGTTTTGTATATTGTTTGAATTAGTATAAAAATTTGAAAAATATATTGTTCCCAATGTTCTATTCAGTATAAAAGGCATATTTGATATAAAAAATCAAATCTCTTCAGTTGCTGGCAGTTGATAATAAGTAGATATAGAAAAATATAAGTTCAAGATTACAAAATCATATTGAAAATAAATTGCAATAAACAAATTTTCAAAGTTTTAAAGAAAAACATAAAATTGTAATGAAAGGTTTTCACATATTTTTCAAACGGTGATTAACTAAACACAGTACGAGTCACTAATGCTAAATCATTTTTCAATCGATTTTTTATTATTTTTCCTAAAAAGCTAACGGAACAAATATTAATATAATACTAAAGTATGCGACTGAAATACACAATAGCCTGCAAGATGAAGCTCCATATTTATATGTGACTTCAATTGTTTAGCGCACAAAAAGTCAATAATCAATGAGCCTTAGAATCACTACTAAATATTCTGATAAAAACCGAAATGTGTAAACTTCATGCACAATTCCCCCACATAAATTCCTAAATAAATCTTAATTTACATTTTGGGCAACCCATTTATAGGCCACAAATAGCCGTCAGCACCTCGCCTAATTTGCTATGGTAATGAAATATTAGAAAAGGTATCTCAACAATAGACGCCAACCGAGAGGGCAGCCAAGTTTTTCAATGCACAACGCGCGCCTCATGCCCCAACGCCGAAATGGTAAGAAGCAGCCACGACTAAACTTCAGTCGCAAGTCTCTGGCGTAGTCGTAAATCTCATAAACCCGCTTTGTTGAGCGTTTTATCTCGGCGTTAACTATACAAAGTAATGCCGAGCATTTAAGCAAAACAAATGAGGGCGATACTTTGTTGTGGGTGGCAGACAACAACAACAATCACATGTACTTATATACTAACAGACCGCGATGTGTAAAAAAGCAGCCGAGTCACAAAAAGATGATTGTTGTAAAAAAGGCAAAAGCACCAATACGCCCAAAGCCGAGCGTAAAGAATCGTTGAAACACAAAAAAACCCGAAAACTGAAAACAACAGAAATGGCGCAGCGGGATATCGATGTATTTAAGCGAAAATATCATCGAACAAGAAAATCGATTAAACGCACGAAATCCATACAAAATTTTTCACAACACTTTTTTTGGATTCATTCCTCTTTTAATATTAATACTCATTCAATCATTTGTTAGATATTATATCGATTGAATATTTCACGCTTTTTAATTGCAGCAAAGCTTAGAGTTAAATTGGCTTGAGGGGGTCCTTTGGTGGTTAGAGGGCTTTGAAGTGTGGCATACGAATGGGTTTGCAAGACTTTTTCAATGATAGGCTGCCCAGCATCGATCTTAGTAAGAGAAAACATCTTTAATTTACATTGACATGAATAGATAGTGATAGAGATTGGTAAAGTTGATCCCGCTGATATAGGTCTGGAAACGTACGTATCAAACAAAAATGGACAGACAACATTCTAAGACAAAAGTTTTTAGGAAAAAATGCATCTCCATAAATTTTATAATTGCTATATAAATGTGTATTTTTCGCACATAATTAAATTTTTTTCATGACTGGGGTTTGGTTTTATTTCTTTTGGCTTTCAATCAGTCAACCGGCTGTCGTTACCTTCGCTGTTAGGCTTTTGGCGGCATCTTCTGTTCACTGCCTTTAAAAGTGCGAATAAACGTCTTCAAAGTTACCAACTGCTCAGTCAAATTGAACTGGCGTCGACAACGGATCTCAGCAACACTGCGTTGCACTCGCCTTCAACTATCTATAGAAGCTGCAGCATCATCCTCATTGTCTGCGAGTTGTTAGTATTTTTACTTCTTACACTTATCTGCCTAATAAATATTTCATGTTTTCATCACCTTGCCCTTGTTCTCAAAAATATCTACATACATACATAAGCGATAATGTAACAGAATTCACTCATCGATTGAACCCAGTGGTAACCCGTGCTTAAATAATTATGTGAAGTCGTAAGGAACAGGTGTGCAGTTAAAAGTTTCGATTTTAGATTTTTCTATCTTAGCTCCAAATTTTCAATATTATTTCAAGGACTCTAAAATTTTTTAAGTCGATTTTTTTTAGATCCCCCTATTTGTGTTGAAAATGACATCTAATAATAAATAATAATACAAATTTTACAGAAAATTAATCTGAAATAAAGAATGTCTGTTTTCCGGAAAAAAAATATGACAACAAAATTTTCAAAAATTATAAAAAATATTACTACTATAATTTGAAACACCAACCCATTCTTTCCCTACTGGGTTAATGCACATATCGATATGCTTGTGCTACAAGCGTCGGCGCTGAAGCGCGTTTTGCACATCCCGCCGCGTTTGGACGCACACTGTTCGTTCTGTAGTATGTCTGTCTGCTCAGCGGGTAGACAATTTTCATAAACAAATTTCCAATATCGCTTTCATGTTGCAGTTTTATGTTTATATTGTGCTAAGGTGCCTTTGTTGTAATCTTTTAGAGTTTTTATTTTATTAGCTCGGTGTGAGGGCGCGCAAGTCACTTGTATCAATTTATATCAACAGCTAATGCGATTTTCAATTAATCTTGCTCGCGCAATTTCTGGTTTTGTAATGCATTGAGCCACTTCTATACACCAATGTTATCGAAAAGTAAGGTGAATTCAAATCAATTTCATCCCCTTCAAAGTAATCCCTAACCGATAAAACGCACTTTTCTCTTCCTCAAAACCGTCGGAATAGTCTTTTTTCAGTGTAGCCTACAAGAACATCATCTAATCGGTTTTCGCACTCCGCATTGTTGTTATTGATGTTAGCTTTTTAAATAGCCAAAAGTCACACGGAGCCAAATTAGGCGAATATGGAGTTTGCGCAACGACATAAATCGAGTTTTCGGCAAAACAGTCGCAACTAATGCGATATGACATGGTGCAATATCGTGATGAATCAACCCAGCGTTGTTCTTCCGCGCAATAGTGAATTCTTATTACGACTACATATGTCTTTTAACGATTGGGAGTAATCACGTCAATCATTGTACGAACATTTTTTGGAATTATTATATCCAGAAATTTCAGTGCCATTCTTATGAATCTATAAACTGCCTGATTACCCTACAAAAACTCATAGATGTTATGAACAATCTAAGTCTGTTCGAACTATAGAAAGGCACATCCTAATCCATGAAATTGTCAGCGCATACGTCCCAATTTAGTTATCAAACGTTTTCAGGGGTCCAAGATTCGGTGAAAATAAAAAAACTTGAGCCTTGTTAGTTATTTGAGAAGTTCTATAAAGTAATGATTTTCAAAAACATTTTTTCATAAATCAAGTCTGCATATACATATTCGAGAATACCATATTCTTCGAACATTTTAAGTTTATTAGGCAAATGGTTTCAAAGATATGGGCGTATATTTAAGAATTTTTGAACTTAGCGTAATCGGTTCTCAAACTTAAACCAAGTTTATCTCTAGACGAAATGGCTTAACCGAAAGAAACCGAATGAAATTTTCCCATGACTTTTTAGATATAATATGGAGCTAGTTAATAATAAGTTTGAAGGGTAAACTTTTTCACAAATACGACTTTTAAAATGTAATATTTATATGGTTGTAAGATCAGTCATCCTTACCTGTATTCATTTAGCAGTAGTTTAGTAGTAATATTGTTTTAAGTTCTTGGGCGCCTTGTTAGATGTCCTCCAGGACATCGGGTACTTTATCCTGTATGAATCCATTTTTTAAAATATTCGCCGATTATTTGATACATTTCGTAAATGTTCAAATCGTTTTCAAAAGAGCGTAATATTTTCGAAAGAAATGGTTGGTATGGTTGGAATATCTACCATTAGTGGGATTAATAGCCTTGATTCGTCTCTTTAAATTTAAGCACAAAATATATTTTTGTCTATTAGAGAGTAAATTAGTTCAAAAATATCCACCAAAATATGAGCACATCTCTTCAGCGGTGCTTGCAAAAGCTCAATCATGCGGAAACTATATATTTCCAAGTTCATTGC